TTATATGGAGAGGGCTTACATAGGCTGTGACGGTTGTATTATATATATGGAGAGGGCTTACATAGGCTGTGACTGTTGTATTATTTATATGGAGAGGGATTACATAGGCTGTGACTGTTGTATTATTTATATGGAGAGGGCTTACATAGGCTGTGACGGTTGTATTATATATATGTAGAGGGCTTACATAGGCTGTGACTGTTGTATTATATATATGAAGAGGGCTTACATAGGCTGTGACGGTTGTATTATATATATGGAGAGTGTTTACGTAGGCTGTGACTGTTGGATTATATATATGGAGAGGCTTACATAGGCTGTGACGGTTGTATTATATATATGTAGAGGGCTTACATAGGCTGTGACTGTTGTATTATATATATGGAGAGGGATAACATAGGCTGTGACTGTTGTATTATATATATGGAGAGTGTTTACGTAGGCTGTGACTGTTGGATTATATATATGGAGAGGGCTTACATAGGCTGTGACTGGTGGATTATTTATATGGAAAGGGCTTACATAGGCTGTGGCTGTTGGATTATATATATGGAGACGGTTTACATAGGCTGTAACTGTTGGATTATTTATATGGAGAGGGCTTACATAGGCTGTGACTGTTGTATTATATATATGGAGAAGGCTTACATAGGCTGTGACTGTTGTATTATATATATGGAGAAGGCTTACATAGGCTGTGGCTGTTGGATTATATATATGGAGAGGGCTTACATAGGCTGTGGCTGTTGTATTATATATATGGAGAGGGCTTACATAGGCTGTGGCTGTTGTATTATATATAGGGAGACGGTTTACATAGGCTGTAACTGTTGGGTTATTTATATGGAGAGGGCTTACATAGGCTGTAACTGTTGGATTATATATATGGAGAGGGCTTACATAGGCTGTGACTGTTGTATTATATATATGGAGAGGGCTTACATAGCCTGTGTTTGTTGTATTATATATATGGAGAGGGCTTACATAGGCTGTGACTGGTGGATTATTTATATGGAGAGGGCTTACATAGGCTGTGACTGTTGTATTAAATATATGGAGAGGGCTTACATAGCCTGTGTTTGTTGTATTATATATATGGAAAGGGCTTACATAGGCTGTGACTGTTGTATTAAATATATGGAGAGGGCTTACATAGCCTGTGTTTGTTGTATTATATATATGGAGAGGGTTTACATAGGCTGTGACTGGTGGATTATTTATATGGAGAGGGCTTACATAGGCTGTGGCTGGTGTATTATATATATGGAGAGGGCTTACATAGCCTGTGTTTGTTGTATTATATATATGGAGAGGGCTTACATAGGCTGTGAGTGTTGTATTATATATATGGAGAGGGCTTACATAGGCTGTGACTGTTGCCAAATCCCTTTGACAAAATCACATCCTTGTCAATAAAGTTTAATGAAATAAATGACGTACAAAAAGATAGTACGTCTTATCGACAAATATTACTAAAAAATCGTTACACATTTATAGATAGGTGAAAATAGATTACACAAATTGACGTATAATAAATTCATAATGTATAGCTAAGTCCCTACATAAAATCAAGGCGGCCTCGCATTACTAATAATTTGTCTTACAATAAGTCAGTAGGGACTTTTTAACGCTAAATAAAAACAAAAAAATAAATAGAGGGGAACTTATGCAATAATAACTGTGTTCATCTCTGATAATCTTGAACATATTGGTATGTTTGGTAGGCAACTCATAAAGAGCATTCCTCATCAACAGCAACATATCTGTTTCACATGTATACTCACATATAAAGTAGAGTAATATAATGTGTAAAATATACCCACATATATAGTAGAGCATTATAATGTGTAAAATATACCCACATATGTAGTAGAGCATTATAATGTGTAAAATATACTCACATATATAGTAAAACATTATAATGTGTAAAATATACCCACATATATAGTAGGGCATTATAATGTGTAAAATATACCCACATATATAGTAGAGCATTATAATGTGTAAAATATACTCACGCATATAGTAGAGCATTATAATGTGTGAAATATACCCACATATATAGTAGAGCATTATAATGTATAATATATACCCACATATATAGTAGGGCATTATATTGTGTAAAATATACCCACAAATATAGTAGAGCATTATAATGTGTAAAATATACCCACATATATAGTAGAGCATTTTAATGTGTAAAATATACCCACATAAATAGTAGAACATTATAATGTGTAAAATATACCCACACATATAGTAGAGCATTACAATGTGTAAAATATACCCACATATATAGTAGAACATTATAATGTGTAAAATATACCCACATATATAGTAGAACATTATAATGTGTAAAATATACCCACAAATATAGTAGAGCATTATAATGTATAAAATATACCCAAATATATAGTAGAGCATTATAATGTGTAAAATATACCCACATATATAGTAGAACATTATAATGTGTAAAATATACCCACAAATATAGTAGAACATTATAATGTATAAAATATACCCAAATATATAGTAGAGCATTATAATGTGTAAAATATACCCACATATAAAGTAGAGCATTATAATGTATGAAAATATTTTATGTTAAATGAATCTCGATCAACCATAGAATATATTAAGTCTTGCCAATTCAGATGTATTACAAAGAGAGAACTAATGGATATTGACTATTCCTATAGCATAAGAGGACGCTGGTCGGCTATGTTTTACCGCACATGATTATGACGACTGCGACACTGCGCTTGTCAAAAGAGCCTCTAACATTGTTTGAGTATGGTATTAATTTATTAAGATTGTTAATATTTTAACAGTTATTTTAGGATGAACAATTGAAGACTCAATTAACCATTAATCAAACATATAATGAATTCATATTATAAAGATTGGATTTAGAATTAAATATAGTTCCAAAATCATTTAGTAAAATTATCACTGTTTATCAGTAGATAACCCGCTAACAATAATCTTACATTTCTAGCCCACATCTGTGGAGGAGGGTAGCGACGATACGTCACCCTATGTCTGCTATGTAAACCTACTGAATGTATCACCTACTGAGATATGTATCAGTTGATATCGCTATTACTCTAAACCGTGTTTCACATGACACGGTACGTGCAAAACATGCCGTGTTGCTGTTACCAACCGAGATATCAAAGGAGTTCCACATGTCAGGTATACCGGATGTTTGACGTAACGACACTCCGATTTTAATAAACATGTTATATTTCACTTTGAAATGATATAACAAAAGTACTATTTAGATGTTTATAATTGGTAAGTGCTTCGTGAACAATCTTGATTGATTTATTCACAACCAACGCTATGGTAGCTAGTGTTTTAGGGGAGAAGTTTCACTGTTTGACTATCTACGCAGCATTTTTAAGGGAGTTATTTGACTATCTATTCAGCGTGTTTAGGGGAGACGTTTTACATTTTAGCCACTAGAAGTTTATAACACATCGGAGTAAGCTGTATAACTTGTCGCATACATGTAGGTTATGTTTGGGAAGTAAGGACTTATGTAAACATTCAAATTATGTGACTAACGAGGATGTTTAGAGGCACAGCATTAGCATAATAATATGCTATATAATTATAAAATATAAATGCTGTTTCGTTTCAATTTATATTACTAGTAATACGAAAATTGGAAGAAATAATCATAAATATTCAGTTAATATAATTTAACTGATTCGTATATTATTGCAGGTATACACTGAAAAAATATATTAATTAATTAAATTGATACAGCCCTTTTTTTCGTTCCAGTCATGTAATTTTACAATTGTCCATTACATAATGATGGACGTCCTTGATAACAGGCTGTGTCACAGATAAAAACTTGTCGGCAGAATTTCATATACTATAGTATTCTTTTTATCTCAAAGAGTCACGCACCATCACTTTTTTTTTATCACAGTTCACTAACAGACAACATTTCCATCAGTAACTGTTTTATTTATTATTCTTCCCTATGCTGCATCAAAATATATATGCAGTTTCAAATAAAACAAAAGTACATCAAACAGATTTCAGTAATGTCAGCATACATATATTCACACGCGAACGTGTTCGTATAATACACCAACGTTCAAGAATATACGGTCATTTCAAGATTTTTTTTTATCAAAATCGTTTACGTAAATGAAAGAGGTAAAACATTTTCAAGGATATGGAGTTTTATTTCAAGTGATGATTAAGACGCCGGGAAAAGTTTGAAGATTCCGTTTTAAAACAATATTGTTGCATAATAATATGTTTTGTGTAATATAAGGTTTTAAACAAGCTTAACAGGCTAAAACTATAATGGAAGCCATGAAACAATTCGTAATTTGAACTGAAAATCAATACAACTCTGCCAGAATAACAGCAAACGAAATATTTATTTCGTTAAACTAATAAGACAAGAAGAATAAGACCACGAGTTCGGGAAGGATATGCGTCTAAATCATAATTAGACATTTGACGTGAAAGATAACCTTGACGAGCGTTTTCGAAATAGTCCAGCACAAGACACACTTTTTATTACGTAACCAAGCGCGCAGTAGGTTTCATTGATTATGAATGGAACAAGTGCTGAATCATTTGGGCCTAAAGTCACCATTATAATATTTTAAAATAAATGAATTAGTTGAATAAAACGTTAAACATCGTCCACAGATGGTACGTATTTGTGTATAATCGGACATTATCTAAACAGTGTTGAACACCCAAATACAGGTTCCCTATGATTCAACTGATTGTTATTGAAACAACTTCGGTTATCTCAGGTAGATAATAAATTGTCATCGATGGAAGTATCCAGCTAAGAGGGCCACACAGACGTGACACGGCCTGCTGTGCTGAAGTAGCCCCCTGATGGGGGTTGCCTTGACATCCCTATCGTCTCGTATCAGGATGTTCAAATTTAGAGTGGAAGAAAAACAAACCATCTCATGATTTCCATTAGATAGTTAGTTTGAACTACAGGCATTGACGTAAAGGCCACTACTGCTACTACATAATGGCGATTTTGTTTTTGTTTTTCGCTTACAGTGTTCTTTTACAAGGTAAGTGATGCCTGATCTTATTGAAGAACGTTTTATCATACTAGATTTAGGTGTAACACTGTATTATTGCTTACTATACCGAGATATCCGCATTTCCGGCTGTGCTGGGAAATTCTATCCGACCCACGGGTCTAGATCGCTTACACGCGCAGACTGGCGGGGGAATTATGGTGACCTTTCGGGGTCACGCTATTGCTCGGTCAGTCCCTGTTGGGGTCAGTCAGGGTCATTGACGTCACTAACAATTGCCAGCCGGGCTTCATATGCAAATGAGAATGTGCGGACAGTTTACAACTTTACTAGAAGAGCAGCTGTTTTTACGGGGTTTAGGTAATAAGCAAGAAATATAATCCATCCCTGATATGAGGTAATAAAATATGAGGTAATAAAATATCGGGATGAAATCACAGGGGCATGGATCGCATTACTTGGATGAAATATTGAGCAAAAGACCCTCGGCAAAGCCTCGGGTCTCCTGCTCAATATTTTATCCCTTGAGTTTGAATAACCTTATCCATACCTCACATCAGGGATGGATTCTATTAATATACCCCTAATCATGTGACATTAGTTAGTTGTCGATCAAAACCGGTATTGACTTAAACCGTTTGTAATACCAGTGTCTTTTGTTATTTGACAATAGTTCATGTTCTGAAAAAGTACTTATCTAAGCGGACTAACATTTTAGCATTTTATCGAGTTTTAACAGATTAGCCATTTCATGTATGGTATACTTGCAAAAATATACCAAAGAAAGCTATAAAAAGAAATTATAAATGGCCAAATATCAATATAGCGAAATATTTAAAGTGCGAAAAGCGCTAAATTACAACACCGCTAAAGTATACGTTTACGTTATTAAAGTGTCATACTTGCTTGTATCAGTCCTTGTAATTCCTGTAGGCTAGTTGAATGACTTTCTGTACACCATTACATGTTATCGTATAAGGCGGCTATTGTTGGTCCCCGTTTGTACCGTGGGTTTTCCTTCGTGTCGTTTGCTGTCCTTATTGAAACATTCAGGATCTCTTTCTTTTCTCTTCTACCAACTATTTAATATTGTCAATGTATCCCTAGACACCCGTTGTAAAATGACCTAAGCTTACTTATAAAGAGAACAAAAAGCAAAAAGCAAAACTTAACCCAAATGTCACATATCAGTACTACTAAAGATGTTATCCAAATATTAAGAAGTTTGGTTTAATTTTGTTTTACGTCCTATTAACAGCTAAGGTCATTTAAGGACGTGCCTCCATGTGTGTCGTGTGTGCGTGCTTGCGTGTGTGTATGCAGGAGACATGGTATGTTGGTGTGCTTGCCCCCTTGTGATAGCGCGGATCTGATGCCGACGTTATAGTGCTATCTCACTGAAATAACATGCCGAAGGCACCCACCACAGCATTCCGCCCGGTCACAATATACTGACAACGGGTGAACCAGTTGTTACAATTTTCCTAACTGCTACACGTTATGCAGGGAATAACAACTACCATTTTTAAAGACTTTGGTATGTCCCGGCCTGAGGACAGAACCCATTGTCTTCCTCACCTGGGCGAACGCTCAACATTAAGGCCAAAAGTGAGGTGTTGCCAAGCAAGGCGCTAGGAAATAACAAATAGCTAAAAGTAGAAAGAAAGATTAAGATCCCATATATTGCAATGGGTGCAGCAGATTTATTTTGGTCGGTTTTGTTTCCCCAAATACTGAGGACACCAAAGCAAATCCCCAATTCTGCAGGGGGTTCATCCATTAGTCACCTCCTACGATACATGCCGTGGGTAACAGCAGGTGTATTCTTTTCCCGATCTCCCACCTGCAGGGGTGGAAATATTAAGAGACACTACTCTTTACGATGCAATTGTTAACGCTAATTTTGATTGGTCAAAAGTGTGAAGCATACCTCATGATTTTTTTTCAAACTTTCCCGTTTGGCGGTGTTTGGGTGATTGTTCAATCATATTTTTCGCAATCCAAACATCCTATTCGACGCTAACAGGGTCAGTAAATAACAAATAATCTAATTTAAATCCCTCCTAAAATAAAAGTGTATATCTCTTATAAGACAAATATACGTTAATCGTCTACATCTTGAAGTAATATACCAGGAATACAAGTTTTATCCTGTCGTGAATACATATTTTTCAAAACTCTATCTAATTTTGAGCGTCAAAGGTTTTTCTGAAATACAGGTACCAATTTTGAGTATTTCGAGTATAATAAGAGTAACAAAAGTGGCTCAATAAGACGATAGTTTTATAGTAGGCAACAGTTGAAATGCCAAATAATAAACACTCCCCATATTTGCCTTTATTGTCATGTTCTGTAGTGTTATCTTCCCCTGCATCTATCCTATTGCTATTTGGCATCTTTATCTTTCTTTCTACTTCTAACTATCTTTCATTTCCTAGCGCCTTGCTTGGCAACACCTCACTTTTGGCTCGACTGTTAAGCGCTCGTCCAGGTGAGGAAGGCAATGGATTCTGTCCCCAGGCCGGGACATACCAAAGTCCTTAAAAATGGTTATTGTTATTCCCTGCTTAACGTTCAGAATAAAGGGGAATGGTAACAACTGTTTCACCCGTTGTCAGTATAATGTTACCGGGCGGAAATGCTGTGCTTGGTGCCTTCGGTATGGCATTTAAGGGAGATACCACTATACAGTCGGCATCAGTTCTGCGCTATCACAAGAAGGCAAGCACACCAACATACCCTCTCTCCTGCATACACACACGCAAGCACGCATATACTACACACATGGAGGCACGTCCTTAAATGACCTTAGCTGTTAATAGGACGTTAAACAAAATCAAACCAAACCAAACCAATTCCGCCCAGTATGTCTCTCTGACTACCGTCGTCATCTGACCTGAACGTTCTGACACGGTAAATTCCATAACAAATAATAATTGTCAAGTCCCATCCCCTCTCCACCAGTGTTTTGTTTCAATTATACCGTTTATGTTTTGAGTTACGGTATTGACCCACATATATATAAATTTAGGTATTATTATGCTTTTACTTATTTTCATCAATATTGCCTGACTTAAATGGAGAACTGTTCGTAATCGGAATATTTCGTATTTTGGCTGATTTGGTGGTGTGGGTAAACGCTGCTATAATGCATAATATATGTAGTTTGTTTGTTAGTATGGCGTTTAACGTACTCGCCACCGCTAAGACCATATACAGGTGAGTGGATCCACCAGCCTAAAAGAAAGAGTAGATAATTAAGCATAGAAGAAATATAGATAATAGTAATAATAATACTTACAATTCGAGGTTCTTCTGTACCGCTTTATCACAACCTAGTTCGTAGGTCGACTCAAAGCGGTTCACAAATTATTATACGTGGTTCTTTCTCAACTCCCTGGGGAGCATACAGCCGGTGCTACCATTTCGGTGCTCACAGCTAGCATTCTACAATGCTAGCACTGCCCAACCACATACTCATTTCAGCTGAGTAGACTGGATACCGATTATTGCAATGGGTCAGTATGTCAATTTGTGTCTCTCCGATGTCCCCTAAACAGAGGACACAAAGGAAACCCCGACTCTGTAAGGGTCCCACATTAGTCGCCTACATGTATTACAATAGCATGCAGTGGAATACAGCAGGTCATTCCTTCCCTATACTGCAGGGTGATTTTATAGAGTGTTTCCATCTTTGCACATGCATGCTTTCACGTTGAGTTAAGTAAAAATGTTAACACTGCAAAACTTCCCAATAAAACAGTATTTTTTTTGGAAGCAGCCATCTGATTAACACATTTTTAACGCAGGTTTCCAAGCAGAGCCGGATCCTTGTGATACAGCCGAAGTCCTCCATCGTCACGAGGACAGGGGAACTCGATGTGTAATCAGTGACAGTAACCAGGTGTGTGACAGATACGCCCTCAATGAGACTGTTTGGTACCATGTACCAAATCAATCTCCGACAGATAATCTGTTTCTGGATATGGCAACTTCCCCAGCCGAACTGAACACCTGTGGAACCTCCTTCCCTATCTGGCTGAATGGTGAGTTTGTGTACACTTACAATGAAAAATGCAATGCAACAATATCCAAGTATCCCCCTTACTGTTGGAAAACACGATTCTTCGTGTCTTTGAGGTTAACCCTCTTGACACATGATTAATCGAGGAGAAACGACGAATCCTGGTTCCCTACAGCAAGGCAATAAATAATTTATTATGACGAAAAAAAATCATCCAAAAACAATAACACAATAGTAAATTGTCGTCTGCTTCCGTCATTTGGATCTAGGTTGTGGTGGCTCTTACAGAATGTTCTAGAGAGGCTCCGAATAAGGGAAATATGGCCGGGGGAAACTTAAGCGCGCGAGGGCGACATTACGTTTTATTTTCCCGTCATGTGACCAGTATCACCTAATCAGACACGCTGTTAACAAGATGAGGTATAATAAATACAATGCGTTCCATTATAGTGATTTGTGTAAGCATCAGAATTTCGTACTTTCCAAGACTCTTTTATTAAAGTTACATGTTATTATGTGTGACGTTATGTTATTACAAGGCTGGTTTATTGAACAGAGTAAGCTTAATATCTTTAGTTAAAGAAGAATTTTCTAGAGACCCAAACACAATGGCCGGTTAGGACTAATATATTCGCATTGGAAAAAAATCGGTTTACCCAGAGTGCAATCTATTACTTTGACGGGGTTGTTACGCATGATGAAGTTACAAACTGGAGAAAACATGTCCCTAATTACCTGATAGCATAAACAAACATTGATTAATAGCATTGTCTTAAATAAAGGATATTCAATGGTTTCTTGTTTTATATCAAAGATAATTTCCGAGTAGAACAGATCATTCATATCACGAGTTAATTAGCACTAGCAAACATATAAAATCTACGATTCCGATTAATGTGAATTACATTTTACATTTCATTTCGATTTCTTAAATCAAATTATGAGATTGTCAGATGTCCATTTTTTTCGCGGTTCTCAGCGACATCCAGTAAGACTTGAGGATATTATATATGCGAGTTATAAAATAAATTAATAGACAAAACCCCAACATTTCCAGAAGATGCTTTAATATAAAGTTAACAAACAATATATCAAATGAGTAGACTGGCCACCGTCTCTAGAATATTGAATAATTAAGAAACAACTTTTAACTCTAAAAAATGTGATCACTTGGATGTCTGATTCTTAGTTCTAAACTAGGGGGAGATAAGTTAGTAGTAAAATGCAGCCGAGAAATTCTTCATAAAACTTAGGGGCTGGTAGCCAGTCTATCAAATGAGTAATATGCTTCCTTTTAAGTTTTTTCAAACTTTTCATGTCATATCTTCATGTAATGGATACAACTCAGACATTAAGTTACACCAGTGTTATAAATATGAAATGTCAAATGGAAATGATATCATCTTTGTCTGACGCTCCAATCTCTTCTTATTTTCTGCAACTATTTTAGTAATTGATAATATTCATTTTATTACAGCCTTAGTCTTGTTACTTCTGCGTTTACAGGGTCCCTCCCAGGAGGAAATCGTACCCAGAAGATAATGACCGCGTGTATGCGTGGTTTAAAGAACGTCTGTCAAACCGCTTACAACATCACCGTGGTGAGCTGCCCGCCATCATACCACGTCTACAAACTCCGGGCTACAGACACGTTTAACGCGGCCTACTGCTTCGGTACGTGTCATGTCCTGTCACAGTGACGTCATCACCGGCTATGTCCTTACGGCAATTGTCGTACGCAAACCTATATTCAGGGTAGTGATAACATATTGTAAAATAATTATACATATTTTAAAAGATAACCAACCATCAACACGCCAACACATTTGTTGTTATTTTCCTGGATGTTGGGGAAGGATAGAAAGTATTTTTTGGGAATATATGAAATATGTAGGATTGTGCATTTATGAAATAATTATATGAAACAGTTTCGGGAACATTTACATGGTAGAAAGAGTTTTTAGAGAACACGATAATCCCTGAAAGTTTAACGGTGAAATTGAAAACTTTATAAAAGTTCAACCATAACCATGTGACCTAAATGGCGAAATTCAACTGATTTGTTGTAGTGGCTGGTATACTTACTTCTTAGCTTGATCAAGTCTCTAACACTTTATTTTAACTTTGTCAGGTAACGATGTCTGCCATGGTTCCACCACTACAGCACCAGTAACTACTCAGCAACCCGGACCCTCAACAGGTAACGGAAATATGTTTTAGAATCATGTGTTTACACCTGATTAAAAAAATAAAATCTTTGAAAGATTTCATATCAATGAACATGTATTTGAAAAGGTCAACATCAAGCCCTCAAATCATTTTTTTTTTTAAATAAAATTTCCCAACAAATAAATATGAACAATAACTGCAGAAGTATGCATTCAATATTAAAACCTTTAAGCGAAATAAACCTCCTTGTATAACACCAGGCTAAGTAACAGGGATACTCGAAAAAATCAGGAATTTTATCGATAGGTGTACTATGATAACTAAACATGCAAAATAGACACAAATATGAAAATTTTGAAAGGTTTTCAACCTACAATTTTAAAGTAACAACACGAGACTTTATTTTAAACTTGTTATAACACTGTTCATTTATCTCTTTACGGAGTATTCTTTTCTGTAATTAGATAAATAGGAATATGTTTTTAAAATTTCATCTCTCTCTCTCTCTCTCTCTCTCTCTCTCTCTCTCTCTGATCTGATCTGATAAAGACGTGTGACATTTAGGTTCCATTAATGATTTGCTGTCAAATGGTTCCTCAATGTCTTCTTCCTAAAATCTAAACCTTCCTTTTAATTTTCTTTTGAAAATTTTATCTAGTGCCGACGCTTATGTTTAGTCTCCTTGTTCAATAATAATTTTTAAATCCTTCCTAATTGACACAGCGGTTTAGGGAAATTCTAACCCCTGCTGGAGTACAAATAAGGTATAGATAAAAGAATCCTATCTTAAAACACCTCTGTTTGATAAACCCCGTTGTCTGGATAGTCTGTCAGATTTACCTCCATTGATTATTTTATCGTGAAAGATAAAGGGTCGGGAATGCAACATATTAAACGATAGCCCCTCCGACTTTAGACTATTCTATATGTACTGGCTTTGATAAGGCTACATGCATTATTATACAATTATGGCCTTTTTGTGCTGCTGAACATGATTTGATACGAACCTGAAAGATATGAACCCATAACTGTTTTATTATATGCTTCAACAATAAATTAAAACAAAGCAAAACTCAAGGTTCTGATTTTTGTACGCGATTTAGCCAGATTTGAATTCAACAGTTCAGCATCGTAGCTTTCGAAGACATCGTCTAGGTTCTTTTTCTTCAGATAAGCATGGAGGACATGCACTGCATGTTCAATGGCCTTTTCTTTATGTTAACTGCAGCATCTTTATCCTAACGGAGGAGAAACGTTCACCAGCAGCCATCTTCTATTGTCGTCTGACAGATCGCGTTCCGGTCTAACTGCGCATGCGCTACGACAGGTTCCCGGGAATTTCCATATAGGCTATATTTAAAAATCAATATGGATCCGACCAATGTGATTACGAGAAATGTTCATGCATATAATAAAACAACTTATGTCAATACATTATAATTGAATTCCGCCTTTTCCCCAAATGGAGGACTTTTCAGGTTATATCGTTTAACCAAACAACGGACAACACAAAAAGTGATGACGTCGGATCCCGCAATGATGTAATGATAACTTATGAAGTTGCTTGGCAAATGATTTTATTTTTATCAGAGATTGATAAAACTTTCTCTAATTATTAACCAAAAGAGCACAGAGTTTTTCGATACTAACCGTACAACCCCTAAATAATCCTGGTTATATCTTAAATGAACTCGTCAGGTGCTAATTTTTGTCAGTATTATTATTCATTAATTTGAACTTGCTTTTTATTTGACAGTGGATCTGGGAGTGTCAGAGCCCTGCAATACTACTCATAACCTACACCATGCTGGGGGTCGGGGAACACGGTGCTCTGGTGACGTGAAAAGTCAAATATGTGACCGGTACGCAGTGGAAGACGTTTGGTACCGGGTAAAAAGTGGCGGGAAGGATTTGGAACTCGTGACCAAACCCCCACCCATCAACATGTGTGGTACATCATTCCCGATATGGATGAACGGTATTTACCTTCATATCTACATGTTGATGGAGTTTGAATTTTAAGGATCCCTGTCCCGCTGCAGGCAAAACACTGTTTTAAAGAATCAGTGTCCCGCTGCAGGCAAAACACTGTTTTAAAGAATCACTGTCCCGCTGCAGGCAAAACACTGTTTTTAAGAATACCTGTCAATCGCTGATATCGATAGGACACTAATGAAAAATTAAACTCCTGTCTGAAGGGCACTGATAAGAACTTAGAGAAGTACTGGTTTTGTGATTCTCTTTCTAGGTGCAAATGCGTGGATTCAAATTGCATGAAACAAGGTCAATAGTCATAAATAACTTTTTATCATAATGGAAACTAAGGTTTTATTTTGTATTTTTCCCATATATTTCCAGACCGCAATTACTAACATAGCAAAACAGAATCTGTAGGACCATAAGCATTGCACTGTATGTTTCGTATGATTCGTTATATAGCTTTGATAAGTGTTATATTTAAAACTTTGTGATTCTCGTCTTATACCAATATTCGCTGTTACAGGAACTCACCCTACCAATGGCGCCACGGTAAACAGGACTGCGTGTGAGAACGGTATTGATGGATCTTGCTTACATCGTTACAACATCTCCATTAAACACTGCGATACTTACCACGTCTACAAGCTACAAAGTACCCTAGTTTGTGACGCGGCCTACTGTTTTGGTAAGTTCATTAAGTGTGACGCGGCCTTCTGTTTTGGTAAGTTCATTAAGTGTGACGCGGTCTACTGTTTTGGTAAGTTTATTAAGTTTGACGCGGCCTACTGTTTTATATTCACAGTCTACATTGAATATCACCGAATAACTGCTGTTCTTGCAAACTGGAGGTATCATCTCATAACCTAACTATATATAGAACGTGTCAAATTTCCATGGCGTCGACAATAATACATTTTGGCGGGTGATGCACATTTTTCGCGCATGAGACTCAATTGTGTGACGTCATCAATAGAAGATGTGGATGGAATTTAACAAATATTTTATTAAGGCTGTCAATTGTGATCTGATTATTGAACAGATCAAACTTTAATATGTTTAGAAATGAAATCCATATCCACTGATCAGACTAATGCATAAAGTAATGAAGGTTATAAGGTGGCAACTCCAGTTGAGGAAGAATAAGTCTATTTATAGATGGCTTTAAGTAAGTTTATGACGCTTTCATAATGGTAGAAGTGAAATGCAAACGTAATTTGTGACGTGGGCTATATTCAAAAAGTGTGTTACTAAGCTATCTGATTTAGTTTGTGGCATAATCGACTGTTATATAAATGCTTTCACCGTTTAGCCCGTCGTTTGGCCGGACGGAACGCCAACGTCTCCAGATTATGGCATTGAATGAGATGCAATATTTGAGGCCTTTGAGTGACCCTATAATTTGTTGACATCATTTTCATGTGATCTTAACTGTTGTCTTGACGAAAAATCCTTTATTCCTCGATAACATACAATGAAACTGACTGAAATGAAAATCTTTCCAAATTATAAAATTAAAAAGTATGTCCCCTTCTTGTTAATATCGCCGCCATATTTATATAATTGCTTTTCATAAAAGTTTAGTTTCCAGAGAACATTTTCCTCACAAATTTATTTTCAACTAATTCCGTACAACTTGAATGATTGTTGAAAGTTTGAATTAGGATTCACTTAATTCTGATGTCAATAGTTACGAGTGACCTCATCTTCCTTCAATAAAAATAATGACATTATTATTAAGGCGACAATATCAGGGCAAGTGTAATTTGTATATATTAGTGTTTGACTCTTTCTTGTGTACGGTGTAACATTAAGTCAATGAGGCGCCTATTTAAGGCGAGGATGCTATATTAGACTCTAACCACTAACCACTAACACACTGTCCGTCGGATGGGACTATAAATGGTGGCCCGTGTGAGAACTGTCCAGTCTCGCACGAAAAAGATCCCTCTGAGTTTTTCGAAAAAGAGTAGGCGCGTAAACGCCGGCACAGAGGATAGGGTAGCTTTATTTCAAATTTTCGGCCGTTAGAACTAGGGTCTCTTTATTAAGACATTTTGAAGGACTTTAAATTATATATACAAACCAAATGTATAGAATAGTTAGGAGCTGGTGTTAATGTTGGCGGCTTTCAATCTCACTACCGGTCCAGACTTGGTGCTGCTATACGACTAGTGTTAGGATAAGGCAGCATTAGGCCTAGGAGCCGTCTTACACAAATTAGACTTATAGAGTAAATACATTAAGGACAGACGGCTCCTTCTCTTCTCTGTCTCCTTCTTCTATCCCTTCACTCCATACTGTATCCCTTCTACTCATTTCCCCGCCTTTTCTTCGTCTGCTGGATAACCGAATTACTCGGTAGTGAAGCGGACGTAAAACCTATCAATCAATCAATCAATCAATATTATTAAACACTAAAGGCCCGTTATATAGTCTACGTACAATACAGTTGCTTCATAAAACATACTACAGCAGTACTAGTATGAAATCTACTACCAGGAATGTTGGGTGGCGAGTGTATTCGACTTTCACCAAGGAAGCCGGGTTTCGATTCCCTGATCGGACATGAAACGGTGTGTTTTCTCCGGGTACTCCGGTTTCCTCCCACATTAACACCTTCCGTGGACTAACATCTGGGCCAACAAGAGTGATTTACATAAGTTGAAATAACTTGTTTCATAATTGTTGTTAAACAATTAAGTTTATAGGTAAATCTATATTACTTCAACGTTATGCATTATTAGTATATAAAAGCTGCCCTCACTGAAATATCTATAATGTTTTAAATACACGAAATGTTCATTTCATTGTAATTATTTTGTAATAGGGCAAGACAGAACGTGTGAAATTAGTGGTTACGACAACAGCGGTACGTATGTCAGTTACATAATGCCAATGACTCAATTCACGTATGTCAACATTAATTTTAAGATTTCATTAACACTGTTTATAAATAAAAAAAAATGTTAAAAATGTCAATGTTTAAGGATGTACACCTCTGAGAAGTAAAACAAATCCTGTATTAAACTTTTTTTCTTATATGGATTTTTGGAAAAAAAGAGTTAGTGGCATAGTAGAAAATGCAAACAAAACATAGGTCTGTGTGTTCGTTTTTGTGCTATGATCGGTCAAATATACCAATTTAACACAATATGTGATTTTAGGTGATTTGTTTTGGTTTTGACCATTAGCAGAACAAATTCATACAATTTCTTCCAAGTCAAATATGTATGAATGTTTGTAGAATTGATAAAAATATTATTTCTTTTAAATTATGTAAGCAAAATTTCTTAATCTTATTCTTTTAACTCAGAAAGGCGGTTTAAGTTATCCCTACCCCTTATTTTTTAATGAAAAAATACTTGTTTTTTCACCATTTGTTTTGAAGATTAAACGCTTGATATAAAAAGTTCTGCTATTTAACTTTTTTTAATATCTAATGAATTAAAAGAAAATGTGTCTCCCTTTCTAAAACAGACACAAAAATGGGGGGTCCGTGTGCTTTTTCTTTTTTTTGTCCCATTATTATTTGTGTTATTTTTCACCTTTTTGGGGGTCAAAAATCAAAAGTGCTTCAGTTACACTAAGTATGTAAAAAAAATATCAATAATGTATAACTTTCCACTTTGTTGCATAATTTTTTTATAATATTGAACATTATGAAGTTGTGCAGCAAAACTGAATCTGCTACAATTAAAAATGGCGACACAGCGACAATTCAAGTGATCAATCTAGTGTCAAAAAAGATAAAATTTTGGCCTTTTGTGAAGCGCTAGAAATACACATTAATACACATTTTTAAAATGGCCGCCAAATTGGTATTTTTTTAAATTCTTGTAAAAAATTGTGCTAACACCAGGCATCTAGTTTTTCTTACATATTTTTCAGATGCGTGTTTGCTATTAAACTAGATCATAATTTGTTAAATATTACAAAACCTATTTCACCAGATCAAAACGAGACTTGAACGTGATTGAAACCTCAGAAGAGTACATCCTTAAATAACTGATACTTTTGACATTCATAAAACTACATAAGATCGTATATGATATTTTGTAATATTACTGGATTGATATAGGTGCAGCATAGGTACTTAATGAAAACAAAATAATCCTGTACAAGATACAAGTATTGCTATTCTAGCTAACTTTTCATATAAATATCATTACGTGTTACTGGGCCGTGAATCACGTTATAATAATAGTAATTTGAAATTTAGCTAAAATAACAATACTTGTATCTTGTAAATGATTTTATTAGTATCTTCAACTTAATTGATTTCCTAAAACTGTGCGGAAATTATTTAGTTGAGGACAAATTGTGTATTTTTTTTAAAAATATGCTGTCAGGAGTTGTAGATGTAACGCTGGACTTATTTTTGCTCTCGATGTTTTTGTTTTAGGCGTTCATTTGTCTCCCTTTGCTTTCCTGCTTGCCATCTGCGTCGCGTGTGCATGGATGGTTGGAGGGCGTGCATTCCTGTTGTGATTACAAACGAGCTTGATAAACAAATAGGATATTATAGCATTATTCAGGGAAAAAAATTCAATATTATACACAACGCGACACCAGTGAAACATGAGGACCCGATAATTGAATCCGTGGCATCAGGTTTTAGCAAATAATTGTTGAAATATTTCATATTTATCAGACAAATCAATTCAAAATACAAAAGTTAGATCTTGTAACATGCTTTAAGTTGGTTATCGATGTTTTATAGACATATTCACACGCTTTACTTATTGGAATCCCCCAGAAACGAATATTTAGCATACAAAAGGTAGGATGTTATGATCGAAGCATTTCATTGCTTTCAACTACATTTCAAAATCCCATTCTGATGATCGTTAATCTGGTCATACAGCATTATATGGTTCAGCGAAAAGTCAAAAAGGCAGAATGGCCCTAACAAGGCACAACTTAAAAACTTTAAGTGTTTTCAAAGTGACTTATTGCTGCCAATCAGATGGAATCCATCTTTTATTGGCACATTTGATAGACAATGTGTGTGTATAACATTTATATAATTTCGTGATTATAGCATAGAGTGCTAATAAGTAAATTCGTACCTAGAAAGAATTCATCATATAGTATTGATCTTAGTTTAAAATAACAACATAACAAATATGTTTCAGTATAGACAGCATCCGTCCAGTTGGTATATAACTTCCTGTATTTATTACGTATTGTAATTTTGATTTCCCAATTTGTTTCCCCTGGTATCACCGGTGAGTCCTAGGAGGAAGAAACAGCTGTAGGATGCAGTGTAATTCGTTTCTGGCGTACTGTATCTATTGTCAAATTGTATAGGTGCAGTCACTTGTGAGTAGTATGTGTTTTACGTTTATCCTTCCAGTAAAATCAATACTCCGTCCATTTGGTATATAAATATGGCTACATGTATATGGTATATTACATATCCCTTCCCATGTATCACACACAATCAATTGCATATTTATGTGACAATGACTGACACTCAGTATTCCCTGTTTTTTTTTTTGTTTTTATTTATTTATATTACATGGACACTTATTTAATTTTAACATAGGGAATACATATCTATACTGGACTAACAATATATCTGGAATGTCTGACTCAATTAACGTCTTAAGCCAGAACAATATTTCACTAGGGTTTATTTTCTTGTTGTACAACGATCACGAGGAGTGTCTGACTCAATTAACGTCTTAAGCCAGAACAGTATTTCACTAGCGTTTATATTCTTGTTGAACAACGATCACAAGGAGGCAACTCGACAGTGATGGTCCAAATCACTGTTTGCCAGTTAACGGATGTTAGCTTGGCCTTGATCAACACCATAACAAGCATTATGTGAACAATGGTGAACATCTGTAACATCCTGATTATTCATAATCCGTTCGATGTCCTCTCCCTTTTCCGGACATAACCCCCCACCCCNCAAAACCCCCCCCCCCCCCCCCTTTTTTTTTTTTTTTTTTTTTTACTTCTGTAGATTCATGGAGGCATTGTTCAACTATTTATATGTATAACCAATGGTCTGTTTTATACATTTTGATTCCGTTATTCTACATGACTCTTTTTTACGGCATCGGTATATCATCTCTTTCCATGGAAATTTGTACACGATATTTTAACTAAAAAGGTATCTTATATGATTTCAGTTATTTTGATTTCTCAAATGGTCGTTCGAAATTTAAATGGAATTTTCTGGTCGTTAATAACCATAGTTGCCGATGGGCTGTTAAACTCCAGAAGAGAGGTAGAAAAATGAAAGAAAACACCAAAGGACAGACAAAGATCATTTATATAAACAAAGAACAGGACAATGAAAGGTCACACTTGATGGACAGAAAACCAAAAAACAAACAAACTCTCTTTCCAAGATATCTGAAAGGATTTTTTTTTCGAAACATTATAATGTGTCATGCAACTCATGCAAAAGGAATCCTGCATTATGAAAATCTTGAGGGTGGTTGTCTTGCTTGATTTTCTCCCGAAAAATCATCCTGTACCGTTTTTCTTCTTTCTAGGAACCCGATCTGTCAATTGCACACATTTTCCTTCCTGTAGATTTATGAATATGTGTCAGCCGATACATTGCCCCAGCTATCTCCTTCCTGATCCAGATACTGGGGACCGCTTCCACCAAGTTCTATTTATTGTCCTTGATATGCCAAACCTCGTTGTCCCTCATTATCATCACTTCTTTGTGTCAATTACTGTTCTTTATCATAAACAGGGAATTTCAACTTTATAATTATTTTGCAACAATTATTTAACATTTTTACAACTTACAATAACCACTCATGGTTTTATATATGGAAATAAGTGGTATGCGGAGATATATAGTTTTGCCGGAATAATAGTGAACTTGGGTGAAACCCCAAACCATCTATAAAGGAAACCTTGGATGTTTTTCTTTAATACTACAGTTGTCGCGGTGAATGTTTAGCACAGCCAGGTGAAGCTGATGCAAGTCATGTTGTTAAACTGTGAAGGGCGAGTCGTTGCAAAATGAGAGAAGCGTAGATTTATAATTTGATATTTGGAACAAAAACGTGCTTGTTAAAGACGTGCCTTGTTTGACACCGTAATGTATTAATGTGTGTTAACATGTGTAATAAAACAATTAATAATGGCAGGTGTAGTATACTCTTATTGTTGTAACTCCTACTTCATAATAATAGTTTGATGTTTGAATATTATGTGTCACCGTGAGTAGTATTTGTCTACCTCGTCCTTTTCCGTGATCGATGTCCTACACTGTCACGTTTTAGTGTATCTAACTTCTCGATGTTAACAATCTTAAACGTTTGTCATGTACATTTATATATACTAGTGTAGATTTAAATGATTTTTTAAATGCGTAACACTAATAAACTCATATTTATCTTGTCAATGACTTTTTCTGTTGATATTTTGTTCATTTTGTGTAGCATTGATTTTAGGTCCTCCAATATCACATTCAAATATAGGCGTTAATGGAAATTCCTGAACTTAAATGATACAGGAAAACAACCATTGTATGCCCTTTTTTCAAGAGTGAGGGAAATTCAATTTAATTAGTCTTTATCATTATTTAACGTAACAAATGTTTATCTCATACTGAGAATGGAAAATTTGAATGCCATACCACAGTACTATATTACAGAAAGATTTGCCTGTTGGCGGAAACAGAGAAGATATAACCGTCTGACATCAACAAAACCAGAACTCCCCGGATGAGTTTTAACCTGCATACGCGTAAACAATATATGTGTAAGAAAACAAAAGAAACAAGAAAAAACAAAGAGAATATCGATATGTCTACTAGCCATGATTCGAACTTAAAATCGATAAAACTAAGGCAAAATATTAACAAAGAAAATAATTACATAAAGACCCTTGGAACATTTAAAGAAAAATAAGACCATGTGTTCCGGAAGGTTACGCGTCTTCAGCTTCATCAATGACTACCGCCAAGTTAATCTAGGTCAAATCCAAGTAATGTCATGTCTTCGCATTGAGACCACCGGTATTGACAACAAAACAAAATGGCACCTTAATGAGCGTAATACAAAGCATCGACATTCATAGCAAAGAGATTCAGCATATATTTCCCTTTTAGATCATTATGGTGGCCATAAACACTTGACCATACTTTTTATCAACCTGCATCTTTGGAATCCCTGTGATATAAGTTTATCCGTCAGCAGTAGACTTCTATCACGGAAGTCATGATATTCGGTGCAACCTTGTGAATGCTCGGAAAATCAAAATCGTCCCGCTTATCTTGCAGCTTGGAAGAAAGCCGTTTCTGTTATTCATGTTGTAATTTCAGATCGGGAAAAGTGATTGAAGCAGATAAATATCTAGTCTCTCTCAATTCAAGTTCATGCAGGTAAAATATACGAACGAAATGGTTAATAAATTAGTTTCTATTTAGAGATAGCATATTCTCGGTTTTCCCGAAAATAAAATTAAAGGACCCGGCAAGGTTTTTGCTAGAGTCCTGATCATGTTTTCAATAAATTCAGACTGATATGAAAACAATACAAGACGGCCAGAACAGAAACGAGGATGCTCACATAGGAATGCCTACAGTCTGCTGGAGAACAATACAAGACGACCAGAAAAGAGGCGAATGACGTCCACATAGGAATATCTATACAGTCTGCTGGAGAACAATACAAGACGACCAGAAGAGAGGCGATAGATGTTCACATAGGAATACATATACAGTCTGCTGGAGAACAATACAAGACAACCAGAAGAGAGGCGAAGGATGTTCACATAGGAATACATTTACAGTCTGCTGGAGAACAATACAAGACGACCAGAAGAGAGGCGATAGATGTTCACATAGGAATACATTTACAGTCTGCTGGAGAACAATACAAGACGACCAGAAGAGAGGCGATAGATGTTCACATAGGAATACATTTACAGTCTGCTGGAGAACAATCCAAGACGACCAGAAGAGAGACGAATGATGTTCACATATGAATACCTATACAGTCTGCTGGAGAACAATACAAGACGACCCGAAGAGAGGCGAACAATGTTCACATAGGATTACCTATGCAGTCTGCTGGAGAACAATACAAGACGATCAGAAGAGAGGCGAATGATGTTCACATAGCAATATCTATACAGTCTGCTGGAGAACAATACAAGACGACCAGAAGAGAGACGAAGGATGTTCACATAGGAATACCTATGCAGTCTGCCAGAGAACAATACAAGACGACCAGAAGAGAGGCGCAGGATGTTCACATATGAATACCTATACAGTCTGCTGGAGTACAATACAAGACGACCAGAAGAGAAACGAAGAATGTTCACATAGGAATACCTATACAGTCTGCTGGAGAACAATACAAGACGACCAGAACAGAGACGAAGGATGTTCACATAGGAATTCCTATGCAGTCTGCCAGAGAACAATATAAGACGACCAGAAGAGAGGCGCAGGATGTTCACATAGGAATACCTATACAGTCTGCTGGAGAACAATACAAGACGACCCGAAGAGAGGCGAAGGATATTCACATAGGAATACCTATGCAGTCTGCTGGGGAACCAAACAGCACAACCAGACGAGAGACGAATGATGTCCACATAGCAATATCTATACAGTCTGCTGGAGAACAATACAAGACGACCCGAAGAGAGGCGAAAGATATTCACATAGGAATACCTATACAGTCTACTAGAGAACAATACAAGGGATGTTCACATAGGAATACATATACAGTCTGCTGGGGAACAAGACAAGACGACCCGAAGAGAGGCGAAGGATATTCACATAGGAATCCCTATGCAGTCTGCTGGAAAACAATACAAGACGACCAGAAGAGAGACGAATGATGTCTACATAGCAATATCTATACAGTCTGCTGGAGAACAATACAAGACGATCAGAAGAGAGGCGAAGGATGTTCACATAGGAATACATATACAGTCTGCTGGGGAACAATACAAGACGACCCGAAGAGAGGCGAAAGATATTCACATAGGAATACCTATGCAGTCTGCTGGAGAACAATACAAGACGACCAGAAGAGAGACGAATGATGTCCACATAGCAATATATATACAGTCTGCTGGAGAACAATACAAGACGACCCGAAGAGAGGCGAACAATGTTCACATAGGATTACCTATGCAGTCTGCTGGAGAACAATACAAGACGACCAGAAGAGAGACGAAGGATGTCCACATAGCAATATCTATAGAGTCTGCTGGGCAACAATACAAGACGTCCAGAATAGAGGCGAAGGATGTCCACATAGCAATATCTATACAGTCTGCTTGAGAACAATACAAGACGACCAGAAGAGAGGCGAAGGATATTCATATAGGAATACCTATGCAGACTGCTGGAGTACAATACAAGACGGCCAGAAGAGAGGCGAAGGATATTCATATAGGAATACCTATGCAGACTGCTGGGGAACAATACAAGACGGCCAGAAGAGAGGCGAAGGATATTCATATAGGAATACCTATGCAGACTGCTGGAGAACAATACAAGACGGCCAGAATAGAGGCGAAGGATATTCACATAGGAATACCTATGCAGTCTGCTGGAGAACAATCCAAGACGATCAGAAGAGAGGCGAAGGATGTTCACATAGGATTACCTATGCAGTCTGCTGGAGAACAATACAAGACGACCAGAAGAGAGGCGAAGGATATTCACATAAGAATACCTATGCAGTCTACTAGAGAACAATACAAGACGACCAGAAGAGAGGCGAAGGATATTCATATAGGAATACCTATGCAGACTGCTGGAGAACAATACAAGACGGCCAGAAGAGAGGCGAAGGATATTCACATAGGAATACCTATACAGTCTGCTAGAGAACAATACAAGACTACCAGAAGAGAGGCGAAGGATATTCGCATAGGAATACCTATACAGTCTACTAGAGAACAATACAAGA